CCCTGAGACAGAGGGCAGAATAAGGTGTCAGATCCCCCAGAACTGGAGTTATAGTCTATCATGAGCCACCGAAACAGGATGGAAACTTGGTCTTCTAGCAGTGCAGATGCTGTTCTTAATCACTGAGCCAGCTCTCTAGCACCTGTTACGTGGCCTAGGTTAGCTTCAAACTTGCAGTCTTCCTGCCTCAGCCTTATGAGGGCCAGGATTATAGAAACGTGCCACTGGGCTGGGCCTCACAGTTGTTGTTTTATTTGAATTCACATGGAAAATTGAAACTTTGATAACAGCAAAAGCAGTTTTGCTAAATAAAAATAAAATAGAGCAATGAGAGAGAGGAGAGAAAAACAGGCTAATATCTTGGAACAGAGAACCTAGAAATAGACCTCACAATAACAGTACTATTAGAAATCGTTATTAGCAAAAGGAGGGCTAATCAATAAAATCAATGCGTTACTGGTTTTAAACATAAAGATTAAAGATTATTACTTTATTTTTTTGTTGTTACTATTGCAGTCCTCTACAACTGAACTGCATTCCAGCCCTTTAGACTATTTTAGCTACATATAACAATGATTTGAAGTTGAATTAAAAGTTAGCTATAGCTGGGCATTGTGGTACAAGCCTTTAATCTCAGTACTTGAGAATCAGAGGTAGGTGGATCTCTGTGAGTCTTAAGCCATTCTAGTCAACGGTAATGAGTCTTAGGACAAGGCAACATAGTGTGACCTAGTCTCAAAAAATCAAATATAACAAATGCAACATTTTCATTCTCAGGAAAAATAATTAGTTTATTTGTTCAACAAATATTCACTGAGCTGCTGTCACATGCTAAGACCTGTGTGGAGCATATAGCAACGAATGCAGCAAAGGTCCTGCTCTTTAGATGAATTGCATTCACGGGAAAGAAGTTTGTACATAGCATGTTGAGTGATAATAAATGCCGTGCAGCGAAAGTAAGCAGCAGCAGGGCATAGAGACTGACCACAGAGGAAGCTGTCATCTGTGCAGGGTGGGTAGGGCAGGCTGTCCCAGTAAGGCAGCGCAGGGCTGAGGGAATTGGGGTTGTGGAACCAGCTTGCCAATGGCTCTGTTTTGGCTTTTTGGGGTGTGGCTGGAGCCAGGTAGAAGCACAATGGAGGACTAGACCAAAGTGTGAGTGTAGGGCTGGGTGTAGAGGCCCCGGAAGGCTGGGGTAGGGCAGCTGAGGAGCCCGGGGAACTACAGCAGGATTTGCACTGAGGGGGCGATGCACAACTGTCGCCGGCATTCTCTGCTACGGTGTGGAAGACAGATCAGAGAGGCGCAAGGAGGCAGAGGGAATCCCGCTGACTGTCTCAGTGGTCCAGGTGAGGAACCGTGACCCGTCCCTGGTCGGCGGTGGGGGAGGTAGCAGGAAATAGATGTATTCTGACACACTGAAGGTAGAGAAGATGCCGTTTGCTGGCACTGGTTGTGAGAGAAGAGAAGTTAGGGTAGGTAGACTCTAAAGACAAGTGACTCGCTTAATGATGATGTCTTTCCAAGAGATGGTCAGCTCTGTTCTTCTGAGAGGAACGGGCTCGTGGAAGAGAGTAAGGTGTTGGCTTTAAATAGGCTTAGTGAGAGATATCTATCAGACATCAAACAGGAAGATTATTAGGTCATGAGCCTGGGTTTCAGGCCTGGGGGTAAAGCCTGCCACACCATTTTGAGAGTGGTTAGGCCAAGGGGAATTTCACAATGAGTTAATTAACCTTTCTTACCCCTGAGACTGGGGAAGCTAAGAAAGGAGCCAGTGGAAGAGGAGGAGGGGAACTCTGTGAGATCTGAAGACACCAAAAAGACGTCCCAAGAATGAAAGAGCGATCCATCACAGTCAGCTGAAGGTGCAGTGAAAAGCATCTACCAGCAGATCCAAAGTGGGATTACCCATGACCTTGACAATGGTTTCAGGATAGTCACGATGATAAAAAGGAGTAAGTTCGAGAAAGAATAGGATAAGAGCAGTGAAGAGGATGTGAAAATGATCTTTAGAGGAAATTTCTGTAGACAGAGAAAGGAAAATGGGGTGGTACAGGAGGAAAACAAAAGTCCATTTACAAAAATTTACACTTTATTTATTGATCCGGTAGGGGAGTCGTGTGCGCTGTGGTGCATGTGTGGTCAGAGGACAACTTGTGGGAGTCAGTTCTCTCCTTTCACCAGGTGGTCCTGGCATCAAACTTGGAATACCAGGTTTGGTGGCAGGTGTTTTCTCCGACTGAGCCATCTTGGTGGCCCACATGTCCTTTAACACAGAGTGAATGAAGAAAGAAACAGAAAAGGAAGAAGTAAGTGCATCTGGGTGTGGTGGAGGAGTGGGATTTTTGTAGCTATGAGGGCGAGCAGAGCAGAGGCATGAACATCTGGGAGAGTCCAGGGTGAGCATGACCCTGAGCTGGACCATGTGAGGAAAGGAAGTAGGGAGAAGGGAGAGGGTGAGCCAGGAGACCAAGAGGCCAAGAGGGCAAAGGGAGGACAAAAGGACTGTGTAACCAAAATGGCTGGATTGTATAGGGAAAGGCAGTTGAGGGAAAGAGTTGCTCAGCCCCTGGCTGGAGAACTTTAAGGTAAGGGGTAAGGTATGCCAGCCTTACCCTGTAAAAAATAGGAACAGAGGAATGCTGGGAAAACCTGGTGACCATCTGCTTTGATAAGTTAAAGAGGCCCCTGAGTTAGCCATTTGTCCTGAGTTTGAGAACCAACACAGAGTGTTTGCAAGCTAAGGGAATGGGTCAGCAAAGAACAACATCCTTGAGGTGAGAAGAAAAGGGGTTCGGGGGCAAGTCCAGGTGTCAGCTTTTTATGAGAGCACTGTAGCTCACCCATGGAGGGAAAGCAGAGAGATGGATGTAGGGGTTTGCAGGCTCTTTAGATTGCAATTTCTTCACAGGACCATAAGAAGCAAGGTCATCAACTGAAAGAGCAGGACCACACGATGTGAGGAATTTAAGGACAGGAAAACCCATGAAATAATTGTCTGTAAGGAATAAGGGAGGCTGGCGGATACAGCTCAGTTGGAAGAATGTTTGCCTGGGGCGTATGAAGACTCGGGTTTGATCCTCAGCGTGGCATAAACCAAGCGTGGCAGTTCACTCCTGTCATTCCAGCCCTCAGAGGTGGAGGCAGGAGGATCACAAATTTGAAGTCAGTCATCTTCAGTTACATTGGGAATTTAAGTTAAAAAAAGAAAAGAAAAGAATGAGAGTGGATCACTAAAGAAGTGAATCAGGCTAGAAGACAGTGCTGAAGATTTGCCCAGTGGGCATGAATGTAACATAGCACGCTTGTGTCGCCCGCAAAGAATATTATGTGGTGTCGGGAAGTAAATGGAGAGAATTATAGCTTTTCAACGTCGGCATTTTGTTTTCCCGTCAAAGGTCAAGGGTGTAAGAGTAGCTCAAGAGAATAAGTGCTGATATAAAGCAATGACTGCGGGGTGACGTATGGATTCTAAGCTAGATAATGAAGGGGTTAGGTGGGGCAGAGAGAGCGCAGGTAGGGCAAGGGGTAGCAGGTTCTGGTATGTTGGAAGAATCCTTGAATTCAGGCTACTGGAGGGTGTGTCTGAAAAACAGACAGCGAAAGAGGGGAGTGTTGATCATTAAAATAACAGAAGGAATGCTATTATTGGTAAAGGAAAGGTTTAGGTACACATGTGGAAGCAGGAGGTGTGGGGAAGGGTAAAGATAGAACCATTAGAAGCGAGGAAGTCAAGAGACTGAGGTCACGGTCATGGATGCTGTACTTGCTGCTTTTATGTCAACTTGACACAGGCTAGAGTCATCAGAAGAGGAGGGAGCCGCAAATGGAAAAAATGCCTCCATAAGATCAGGCTGTCGGCAAGCCTGTAGGGCATTTCCTTAATTAGTGATCAATGGGAGAGGCCACAGCCCATGGTGGGGGGTGCCATCCCTGGGCTGGTGGTCCTGGGTTCTATGAGAAAGCAGGCTGGGTAAGCCATGAAGAGCAAGCCAGCAAACAGCACCCTGCATGGCCTCTGCATCAGCTCCTGCCTTCAGGTTCCTGCCCTGTTTGAGTTCCTGTCCTGACTGTCTTTGATGATGAACAGTGCTGTGGAAGTGTAGGCAGAATGAACCCTTTTCTCTCCAACTTGCTTGGGTCATGGTGTGCCGTTGCAGCAATAGAAGCCCTAACAAAGATAGATGCTGAGGTTGTTAAAGGTTAAAACGAAGACAGCACTAGAAAGAGATAATGAAGCAGGTGCTAAAGTCTTCATGGAGCAACAGCAACCAGGCGAGGTCTCGAAGGATGGCAAGAAGTAGGTAAAATGAACAAAGACGACAGCAAAAGAGTGAGCAGGGTATGCAAGCACCCGTTAAGCCATAAAGGAGACAGTCGATCAATGCAATGAACACAGAGAATAAACAGGCAGTGCGTAGGGGAGGAAGCCTGGGTGGTCCTCCAACACATAAGATCAACCTTACTGGTCATCAGGAGAACGTAAAATAAGGTACTGTGCCTTTTCATGTTTACCAGAGTGAAACAAACAAACAAACAAACAAACAAAGTGTCCATCAGAGTGAGCGCTAGCAATGACGGGAGGAATAGAAACACCCCTTCAAGCTTTGGAAAACAAAGTTGGTGATCCATGTGTCCTTGAATTCAACTGCCTCCTTCCAGATGTGACCGCTGGGGGGAAGCTCGCATCTGGTGCAAAAAGTTCACAGGATGATTATGGTGACACTTTTTTGTTGTTGTTGTTAATTGATCAAAATTTAAACAACCTAATTGTCCAGCAACAGGAAAAAGAATAAGTTAATTTTATATTCGTGAAATAGTTGTAGCAGCATAAAGGAATAAACTAGAGAAGCTATGTGTAATGGCTAAACCATAAGATTGCAGAGAACAGGGAAGTTTTATACGTTTAGTGTGATACTATCACTCTTGGTAAAGTATCAAAGCAAGAGATATGCTCTGTATAATTACTAGTGCATACAGAGTAGGGTTGCAAAACTATGGACAAAGAGGACGCAGGTGAATTCCGGATGACGGCCCCTCTTGGGAAGAAAGGGAGAAGAGAATTGGGTACAGAAAAGATCCAGAACTTCTGTTTGAGTGCTAATGCTTTGGGTTTTTGCTTTGTTCTGTTTCTGTTTTTAAACAGAAGTTGGAGAAAATAGGAAGAAATGTCAGGGCTTGTCAAAAGCGTATAGCAGCCTTGCTACCCAGCTCTGTCGCTCCTGTTTGCGATGTTTCACAATAGACGTGCTCTATGAGTTCTGTAGGGATGACACCACTTTCAAAGAAGAGATAAACACAAGTCTGAAGCTCACGAAAGCCCACTGTGAAGTGACAGCCTTTCAATCTGCAAATGTTTCCCGAGCACCTAAATGTTGCACAACAGCGCCTGGGGTCTTAGGGAGCCCGCAGAGAATGAGCGGTGTCTACAGGTGCCAGGAGGAGGAGTGTGCCGCTGGCGGACACACCTGATGCTCCGTGACATGCATTGCTCCGGAGGAGCATTGCTCCGGAGCTGGTGGGTTAGAACAGAGTGGATCCGATTAAAAAAAAAAAAAAAAAAATTCTAGACCTCGGTGAGTTTGATAAAAATCTGCTGAACTGTTTCCCGGTGGCCACAGCTCTTCAGGGTTTCATTCTGTGACAGCTTCCTTCAGGTTTCCCTGGCCACAGGAGGCGCTTGGATATCTATCTCTCCTGTTCTGGCATACATTTATGTATGTAAGATGACTACTTACACACTGATGTATTTACTGTATGGATATGCATTTATTTAGCAGATCGGCACTGACACAGCCGAGCTCCGTTCTCTGGGTCCTCTCTCTTACAATCATCATTTTCTCTGTACTCTAGGAATAAAGTGGTGTTCTTCAGGCTCCTTAGATTCTAGGAGCCTTGCCGGGGCCATAGGTGGGGTATGCCTCATGAAGTTACACTGAGATACTACAGATAGGTCTAGGGATGCATCATACTGCAGACACATGTCATGCGTCATCAAACGGGTTTGGGAGTGTTATGGGAAGAAGCAGGGTGAGTTTAAGGGCGGTGACCGAGAAGCGAGAGGACGGGGATAGACCTCTATAAAGGTGGGGGCTTGTGACAGGAGTAGCTTTGTGACTGCTGCAGCCACAGACACCCATCTCTCCAGGGATCCGCCGAGTCCGCTGGCCCTAGGTAGGCATGTCACCTTCTTCCAGGAGCACCGCCCTCCGCCCGGAATGGAAAGCTGTAGAGTTTAGGGAGGTGAAAGGCTTCTAGGACACACACGTCTGTCTCTGTGTGTTGTGCTGAAAGGGGGAGAGCTGGCTTTCAGGGGGTCCAGGGGTCAGTGATTGTGCTGCGCACCAGCGGAAGTGCGAGGCAGTGAGGGCCTGCACTCGTTTTTGTTAGAGGAGTGAATAATCAACTTTCCTTTGTACCCGGGGATAAATATGAAATCTCGATTCCCTGCTGTGGTTCTATCAGCTACTCTAGAGACACCAGTGCTCTGAGCAGCTCCCTTCACAGAGGCCCATTCCTTCTCCCGCCTGGCCGTGGGCTGGGGGTGGAGGGTACCACAGGGCTAGGATATAGCACACGGAGGCTCCATGTGGGCCTGGAAGAGTCTTTTGGGATCTCCCGGGAGTCCTCTGAAGCTGTTACGGGTCCCACTGCAAAAGGGTTGGACAAGTTAACAATACTTCAACTTACACAGAAGTGTGGGAAATGTAAAGGGTTAAATAAGACAGAACTCCATTAAAAAGTTGTAAAGAAGCCACGAGGCAGAAATTCAGATTCCTCCAGAACCAGCGCTTCTTGAAATTGATGCGCCTTCACGGTTGCTCCCTGTTTTTGGAAGCTGTCATTTCTTGTGCCTTCTTCATCGGCCAGTAAGCGTGTGGGGCCTGGTGCTGACCACTCAGGGCAGCCCAGAGCCCTTTTTCCGTGCAGCCCTGCGGAAGTGAGGTCCTTTGCCTAGCGGAAACACTAAGGCTTGTGTGGTCATTTTTTTTTGGGGGGGGACCCCCCTCCCCATTTCTAACAGGAGTGTCTCTCCTCACAGCTAATTTAAAATTGTGCCAAGTGCAGTCACAGAGCTGACTTTCCACAGCTTTAATAATCACTGCCAAATTCTACTATCAACTTTCAAGAAATTGCCTTTGAGAGTTTTCTGAGGTCAGAAAAAACAAAAAACAAAAAACAAAAAACAAAAACCAACCCTATTCATTTTGTGAGAGTGATAGATGTGTAGAAGGATAGGGAAGGTAAAAACGAGTCTGTCTGTGTCCACCTCGCTGCCTGCAGTCAGCCTCATATCAAACAGCAAAGCTAAGAGCTGAAGCCGACACTGCAGCCAACTATGAGTTTTGTTCCCATTTTACTGATTTCCTCTGCTAAAGTCCTCATTGTGTCCAGGACTCGGTCCACGGGGCCACCCTGTGTTTAATCCTCCTATCTCCTCCTCCTATCTCTCTTGGGAGGGTGGTTGTGTCTCATGATGTTCACAGCTTTGAAGAGCTTTGGATGAGGGTGTTAACGAGCATTCCCCAGTCTGAGTTTGTTTGATGTTGTCGTGATTGATTGGACTGGTGGGCTCAAGGGGAACTATTGGAGGGGAAGCGCCCCCTTATTAAGTCAGGCGGCACACAGTCGGGCATTATTTATGGAGTGGCATCACTGTGGTCTCGGAAATGTTGGGTACATTTCTCCACCTCAGAGCTCTTTGAAGATCAGCCTCCAAGTCCTGCTCAAGAAAGAGCAACTGCACGGAGCACTCTTGCACAGGCTTATTTCTTCTCCACGCCTATCACCCCACCCACCCTTCTACTGAAACAGGATCTCATGTGGCATAGGCTGGTCTCGAACTTGCTGTGGAGTGGGAGATGGCCTCGAGCTCAAGATCTCCCTGAGTGCTGGGATTATAGGTGCAAACCACCGTGCCTTTTAATTTTTTTTTTTTTAAACAAAGAGAGTCCCACCGTTACTGACCCAGACAATTCTGGGGTATTAGCATGTACACACAGACATTTATGTGTTCTTCCAGTTAAAGTCCACCACACTGGCCTTTCCTCCGTTGCTCAGGTTTCAAAAGTTTTGACTGTCTGCAGCTCTTATAGCTAGTCCCCTGTGCCCTTCACTGTATCCCCATCCTTTTGGTTTTCCAAAGATGTGTTTCTTTGCTTTACTGATTTGTTTGCTTTTATTTATTTATTTCAGTGGTCATTAATATTCCGGCACTGCAAGGCAGCCCAAGCTCATTTTCTGTTTTTCCTCTAGAATCAGCCATGTCTCTGAGCAATAGCATGGCATTTGAAAGTAGCAGATGTTGCTCCTTCCTCCTTTTCCTCCTCTTGTGTGTGTGTGTGTGTGTGTGTGTGTGTGTGTGTGTGTGGCGGGGGTGGGGGGGAAGCAGGGATCAAAAATATCACCAAGTAGCCCAGGCTGGCCTGAAACTTAAAATCTGCCTCAGGCCCCCAATGTTCTGACACAACGGGACTGTGTCACCATAACTACCTGTTTCAGACTTTAATTTCTGCTTTTATTTTAATTTTCCCATTCTTTTTGCATGGTTTTGCTAGTATTTATATTTTATTTTATTTGTTTTGTTTTTCAAGACAGGGTATCTCTGTGTAGCCCTCGCTATCCTGGAACTCGATCTGTAGACCAGGCTGGCCTCAAACTGAGAGACCTGCCTGCCTCTGCCTCCTGAGTGCTGGGATTACAGCTGTGCACCATGGCTGCCTGACTGTATTTATCTTTTATTAACTCGTTGAATTAAAACATTTTGTCTCACTGCTGTCAGTTGTTTGGCAAGCTTAAAGGTCACTTCATTTTGGTGTGTGCTTTGGTCCTGCCCTTCTTCTGTTTGGAGAAGGGCTCACTCGGTTATTCTATACTCACTTATTTGTGTGCGTGCACACACTTGAACGGATGATCAGGGCTCTCCTTCCACTGTACGGGCTACTGGAGATCAGACTCAGGCTGTTGGGCCCCGTGGCTCATAGGGTCATTTCTTAACAGTGGATTTTACTTGATTCTTCTCCAAAAGCCCTGTTTTGACAACGATCTAGGAGACTCCTCCTTCTTATGACCCCTGCCTCAGAATATGTACTGTGGCTCCTAGCTCATCCCTGCACCCCTTGAAAGCATTTAAGACTGTGAGTTCTTCTTGTGAGGCAATCCTGTTTGTCTTTTTAATTTTTTCTCATGATTCTTTAAAAGTCTGACATTTTATTTATGTGTGCTCATGTGCCTGTACGTGGGTATGAGTGCAGGTGCCCTTGGAGGCCAGAAGAAGGCACCAGGTCCTGCTCCGTGGGGTGCCAGGGACCCAGCTCAGGTTTGTGGTAGAACAGCCAAGGGTTTTTAAGAGCTGAGCCATCGCTCCAGCTCCCTCTCACAATTTTTATGAGCCTTTTTTTTAACCATGTTGTTTTTAATTTCTTCTTCTTTTTTAAATATTTTCATCTGTTAGAAAAGCATTACATCATTGAGCAGCACCCCTAGCCTCTATCTTTTTTTCTTTTTATTCTCCTCTTATATATTACATCCCTCCCTTTTATCATTTTCTTTGAGAAGGGTAGATATAGAACAATGACATTTTTTTGGACCAAAAATAGGTACACATAATTTGCTCTGTGTTAAACCTTGGCAGGTCGGACCCAGAGCATAAAACTGCAAGCATGGCTGTTTTCTTGCCTGGACCTCTGCTGTCTTTCAGATTCTATTGTTGCCCTGGTGAGGGCCCATCTCCTTTATTTGCTTTATGGACACCTTTGTGCTCCAGAAATTTATGGATCCGAGGCCTGTGGATTTATTTCTTTTGTTTCTTTTCACTGCTGTGCTAGCAAGGGAACCCAGGGCTCTGCATTTGGTGGCAAGCACTCTGCTATTGAACCAAATTTCCAACCTCTCAGGGTTTGGGTTTGGTTTTGGTTTTTCTATGGGCTGTTTTCTGGAATGTCATACACTCTTCATTGCCTTTTCTAGTCTTCTAGTGGAAAGAAAGTTGAGGGTATGAGGTATCACAGAAAATCATTGAGTCTTTCTTTCTTTCTTTCTTTCTTTCTTTCTTTCTTTCTTTCTTTCT